GCCGTCGCGGGGCGCGCTCCGGACCTGGGCCCGCGGTGAGGCCCGCGGTGGCGCCGCCGTGCGCGCAGATTGGCGGCAGCGGCCGGCGGCAAGCCCTGTCGCGCCTGAGCCGGGCACGCGTCCGCTGGGTCCTTTCCACATGTCTTTTAAAAACTTCATTTTAAACCTGAGGTTGTGAAGTCAACATAAAACGAGGTTGGAAGATTATTTTACAAATTTAATACTTCATAAATTATCAACGAATGACATTTTGAGAATAAAACTGATTTTGACATCAGGGAAACTTGCAATAATTGTTCATTTCTAGTTAAAGGATTGAAGGAAACTGTGAAAGCTCAGATAAATATGTAGGCTCCTTTCTCAATAAAGGATCTATTGGTGTTTTTTGTTTTTTTAGGGATTGCTAAAAACCATGAGATTTGGAAGTGGAAGATGCTCAAGTTTAGTTTTCACAGAAATGCTTGCCAACCACAATCAAGCTGTGAGTTTTCCAAAAGGAAGTAAAAGACGCGCAAAGATAAAGTGCCCATCTCGTAGGTGTGCTCCCCCAGCCAAGTGATAGGTGAGCCCGCTGTGCTACCCAGAGCCAGCCCAAGGGCCCAGGGGGGGCCAGAACTCCGAGGGGTGCTACGTGGCCCAGGGATGTGTCCTCCCCAGCAGGCTTTGCCCTGCTCCCCAGGAGACCCTAGCTCTCAGGAAAGCCCCTTAGTCAAAATTTGTGCAGCAGAAACTGCAGTTGGACTCACTTGATTCTATTTTTATAAGGAATACCTTCAATATGCTGGAAACTGGAGAAAGCTGCATTTATAATGTAAAGGTACTAAGCGCCAGCTCACAACACCCTTCCACTCATGTCAGCAAGAACGGTTTCTGTACACACAGGCATGGAGTCTGCCTGACAGGATACGTTGATGTGTCCATTCCAACATCAGAATACATGGATGTCTGCAGCACTTCCTGTTTTCTTAACTTTGAACTTTCAGTTTTAAATGTTTGTTAATAAATTAGAAGGGGAACTCTACTGGAATGAATAGAGCTAAGTATACTGCTGTGTGCAGCTTTGGTAAAGGGATTTAAAGGAAGTAAAGTGTATTCACTTCACTGTCTTAGTGGTAGAAAGGGATGAAGGGTGGGGACCTAGTGTAACACTGATGCTGAGCGGCCTTCATTTACTGACTTCTTGCCTCTGCCAGCTGCAGCTTGAAGCACTTCCTGTTGACTGATTTAACCTGGTGACAGCGTGAGGGAGCGGTAGGCCCTTCCCACACTCCCCAGGGCCGACTGTTTGCCACACCACCTGGCATAGGACTGCCCAGCACAGGGATTGGGCAAGTGTGGACCTGCTCACTGCACCCCAGACCTGCAGAAGCTGAAGCACTGAGTTTTACTAAGCCACCCACCCAGACTGGAGTTTGAGATCCCTGGCAAAGAGGAAGGTAGGCAACGTTAGTGATCTCTTTTCATGGATTTGCATTCTAGAACAAATGCTAGAGTTGCTCAACACACAAGTGTATTCTCAAAGGTGGAGACTCCAGGTGTGATAGCTGGGCCTCTGGGAGAGGATGGTGCTGCCAGGTCGTGATGAGCACCAGGCTGTACCTCAGGTTCACCTCAGGGGCATTTTCTGTGTGTGTATTTTCTTAGTTTTGGAAAACTGTCTTTTACTGGCTGTGGAACCTGTGTATTCTTAAAACATCAAAAGAAAATTCTTTTGCTTTTTATTTTGAAATTATAATAAAGAATTTCAAACAAAGGTGAAACAAGTTTAGACTGAATGAAGCCACGCCCTCAGGGAGTATAGCTTGAACAAAGCTGGACTCTGGCAGAGGTCTTCCTGACACCATGGGCTCTCGGGAGGTCCTGGTGCTGGCAGAGAGGAATGCATGAAAGGCTGAGCCTTGTTAGATTCCTTCCCACCAGGCTGAAGAAGGAGCAGATGAGCATCAGAATTACCAGGTTCTAACTCTGATGGCCACAAGTTTGAGTCTCTTTTTCATGGTACTTGGCACATTACAGTAGGTGACTATTTGTTGAATTCATTGATTTGTTGATTAAGTGCTTGATTGACTGAGTAGAAATAAGAAGGTTGATTCTCAGATTGTTTAAGGACTGGACTCAGAGTGAAACACATGAAGACCAGCAAGCCAGAGTGATGACTGGTGATCAGAAACACCGCGAAGAGCATCAGTAGTGCTCGGCTCCAGCAAGAGATTCTGTTCCTTTGCTGAAATGCAGTCACCAGGAATGTGACATCCTGCTTCACAGCCCCTCAGTGGCATAAAGTCCCACAGGGACAATGAGTGCCTACCCCAGAAGTGACTGAATGAATCCAGTTACTCAACGTAAGTTCATTCTGTCTCAAATTCACCAAGTTGCCATTGTACATCAGTATAAATAGATAAATAGCACATGTTCACAAAGGTTTTATGTATTTGTTTTTTATCTGATGCTTTGACCCCTCCTGTGGCACACATTTAAATATCAGCCCAGATCTTATGTCTTTGTGCCTGGGTTCACCTTTGCTGTGCGGTGCTGAGGCTAGAACCCAGGGCCTGGGGCTGCCCTGCCCGCACTGGCCACTGGCCTGCCCTGCGGGGCCTCATGCAGTACTCTGAAAACCTAAAAGGTTTTCACCACTCAGTAAGTAATTATTGTACTTTTGACATTTCATTAATAACTGCTTTAAAATCAGCCTAAAATGTGTGCATGAATATTTTGGGATTCCTACAGGGAAAAGCTCCAGGTGTGGCAGGACGGAGGTCTTGAACATTTCCTGTCTTGGGGCCCTAGAAGCTCAGCACCTGCCCCTTGTTTTTGAAGGCCCCTTCCCACCCTCTGCGCCTTCCAGTCCTACAAAGTTCCTGACCTCCAGATGGCCTTCTTTTTCCCTCTCTTGGAAGACTGCTTTTTCCAGAGGCAGAAGCTCGCTGGGTACTGCTTCCCACCTGGTCACCATGAACGTGCAGGACAGGGAGGACATTTTTATGCCTGGTATATCCACCCCCGCTATGATTCCTTGATTATAAAAGTGTCCTATGTGCTCTTAAAAGCCAGGCTGAGGTAAGCTTTCCCTTGAAGCCGGGTGACCAGCTCCCAGAAGCTAGACAGAGTGACACATTGGTGTTGCTCTATGTCTGTCCTGGTGACTAAGCCCAAGCTGGTCCTGGGGCCACTGGGGTGCAGCATGTCTGCCTTTCTAGGGACTCAGAGCGTGCACGTCAGCGAGCAAGGGAAGGGCTGCTGCCATCTGTGTGCCATCCGTAGTGAGTCCCAGCGCGATCCAATCTGTTTAAAATACATGGAGGGTGGTGATGTAAAGGGTTTGAGATAAATATTTAGAGTCAGCTTTGGGGCCAGGGAGATGGCTCAGTGGAATAAGTGCTTCCCTGACAAGCGCAAGGTCCTGAGTTCAATCCGTGGTTCTGCCAAAAAAAAAAAAAGAGTCAGGTTTATATAATCATTCTTCATTTATATTTCTTCATTTTGCTTGTGCAAGAGCATCCTGACTGAGGCAGCCTAAGACCCACATGGAGCACAGCGGAGCACCGAGTTGTGCTGTTCACAGCATGGCTACAGTGTGACAAGCTACTCTGAGGCCACATGTGGAAGGGTGGTTCCCGGCTGGGTGCTGTGGGGATGTATGGCCCCTTCAAGGGTGAGGCCCAGAGGAACATTAGGTCATGGAAGACATGTCCTTGAAGAGAGCTC